ACTTCCAGCTCCAATGCTGGCACTTAAATTTCCACACCTTATTAAGCAAAGTGCTTAAAACAAAACATGCACGTCACATCGATGAAATTCAAGGATACTCCTCCAGAGATGCTATTCTGTAGAACAAGAGGAACCATCTTAATTTCACAGACACCTTTGATAGTTTTCTTTAGGCAGGATCCCATTTCACAGGCAGCTGGATGACTTCGGCCAATGGTGACCCTAAGCTGGCAACTTGGGAAAAGTTACCTAACTTTAATCAGGCTCCAACATCTCACCTCTACATAACCCAACGATGTCATTGTTTTAACTGGATAATTTTGTATCTGAGAAGCGTTACAACTATCATCAAATTTAACTTCTACGACTGTCCCAAGAATCAATATATTTGGCAGTATCTTTTTTTCATTCCCATCTTAATTTTTTTTTTTTAAGTACATGAGCAACCAAAAATCTCCAAGGAGCTATGTAACATCTCAAAGGTCAAATACTCTCTAAGTGGTCAGTGGAACTTAGTGAAGACCAAGTCGCCCAGATTTTAGTACAGGCAGCTTTCAGGTTACACAACACCTTTCCTGCAGGAATATCATGCTATGTGTGTAACCACTGGATGATAATCTCTAGCGATGGAGAGGTGGGTGGGAATGAAGAGAAGAGGGAGAATTAGGGTGTGAAGAAGAAAGAAGTCTACGTGGGGAAGAGTTGGAGGAGAAAGTTCAGGATGTTCCCTACTTTTGTATAATCCCAACCCTTTGTGGACTGCTTTCAATTTCCTAAATCTTAAACCCTGGATTGGTAGACAAGTACACGTTTTCTACTATGACTGAATGGTTGATGAAGCCCTATGGAAAGGGGTCGTCTTAGACTCTTACATTCTTGAATCAGTGGGTTCTTGGGACTAGTCATAACTATAGTTGAGAGCAAGAATGGATATTGACAAATGCACAGCTATGACCCTCAGTTCTGCTGCTGTATTTCCTCTGACCAACTGTATAGTCTTAGGCCTCCATGGCAATATATAGTATGGGTGGGGAATCATTGTAGTACAGGGGGAAATTGACACAAGGTGTAAGTATTTTACGTCTTTTAGTTCTTCCTTTGTATCAGCTGTGTAGATTGTAGCTTTTTAAAAAATCAAGGTATAGAAAAATTGAAGCATCTCTTTCAAAAGCAAGAATGAGACAAAGATGTCCCCTCTCTTCATGTATAATTGGTATAGCACTTGAAGTTTCTGCCAGAATAATGCAAGAGAAGGAAATAAAAGGAAAGGAAGAAGTCAAATGATGACTGTTTGTAGAGGACCTAGACTCTAAAGTCTACCAGAAAACCTTTAGTAGAAAGGATACAAAATCAACATATAAAAATCAGTAACGTTTCTATATAATAATGAACTTGCTAAAAAAAGAAATCAGAAGGAAGAATCCTATTCATAATAGTTATAAAATACTTTGAAATAAATTAACCAAAGAGGTGGTTAATAAATAAAATACTAAGAATACAGTAAACTATAATAACAACTAAAATACTAAAGGAAGAAATTAGAATAGACACTAGGAGATAGGAAGACTTTCCACGCACATGGATCAACCAAATTAATATTGTGAAAATGGTTTGTTATTGAAAACCATCTATGAATTCAGTGCAATTTTCAGCAAAAATCTCAATGTATTCTTCACAGAACTATAAGAAATTAGTCCTAGGGGCTGGAGAGATGGCTCAGCAGTTAAGAGCACTGACTGCTCTTTCAGAGGACCTGGGTTCAATTCCCAGCATCCACATGGCAACTAACAACCATATGTAACTCTAGATCCAGGGGATCTGACACCTTTTTCTGACCTCTGTGGGCATTGCATGACAGAGGTGCACTTACACTCATACACACAAGATAAAAATAATAAATAAAAAAAATCAATCCTAAAGTTTGTATGAGGCAGGCAGATCTCTGTGAGTTTGAGGCCAGCGTGGTCTACATAGGTGTTCCAGGCCAGCCTGGGCTACATAGTCAGACCTGTCTAAAAAAGTTTTTTAAAAAATTTTTTTCATATGGAAGCACAAAAGATCTCACATCAAAGGAATCCTAAAAACAGAAAGAGCAAATGCTGGAGGTATCATAATATTTGGCTTCAAATTATAATCCAGAACTATAGTAACCAAACAAGCATGGTAGTGGCACAAAACATAGAGACAATGGGAAGAATAGAGGACACAGAAATAAACCCACAGTACCTAATTTTGGACAAAGATATAAAAAACATACATTTAAAAGACAGACTCTTCAACAAATGGTGGTGGAAGAACACAACGGATCTCTTTCTGTCACCTTATACAAAAATCAACTCAAAATGGGCCAAAAAGTCTTAAAGTAAGACTGGAAGCTTAGAGATTGGTAGGGAAAAACGCTTGAAGATAAAGGTGTAGGCAGGAGCTTTATGAAAAGGACTACATTAGCTCAGGAAATAATACCAAGAATTGACAAGTAGGATTGTACGAGATTACGAAGCCTCTGCATGACGAAACAATTAGCAGAGTGAAGAGACAGGCCGAAGAATGGGAGAAAAATCTCTTCCAGCTCTACAGTTTATACAGGGATTAATATTTAGAATCTACAAAGACAAAAAATTAAACACCAATCCCCTCATCCAAATCATTCAATCAACAAATGGGCAAATGGGTCTGGGAGATAGCTCAGTTGGATCTCCAGTACCCATGTAATAAGCCAGGTGGGATAGTGTGTTCCTGTAATCTCAACCCTGAGGTGGTGAAGAAAAGTGGATCCCTGGAGCTAACTACCCAGCCAAACTAGATGAATTGGTAAGCTCCAAGTTCAGTGATATAGTGTCTTAAAAAATAAGGTGAAAGTAATTAAAAGCACAAGACTGGTGTAACTAACTTTCTTGGGTGTCTAATAACCATAATTGGAGGAGGTGTATGACCATATGGAATTAGAGTACTACAAGCTCCTAGAACTTTGCTAATATGAACCTACAGAAATGGTGTCAGAATGCACAAGACCTATGCAAACTCAAGCAGACAAAACCCCAGCACAGAACTGTGGAAATGGGCAACACACTCCAATCTTAGTTGAAGAGTTATTGGCAGCTTATTGGCAGTTTATTTTGAGTTAACATGCATCTTAGAGGATGTGTCTGTTCTATTCAGTTGTATTTATAACCTGCCTTGAGGGTAAAGTATTCAGTGGACAGGAAAGAGCAAGAATGGGAGATGCGGGAGCAGGCAGCTGGTGTTCTCCTGGCAGGTCATAATCCACGAGCCTTGCTTCTGAAGCTAGGAAGTCTCAGTTACTTTTGACCCTACCCAAGTCTACCTGAATGGAGAACCAAGTCCATCATGTTAGAAGACTGTTGCTGTAGCTTACGGTTAAGAGCTTGCCCGTCCAACCCACCCTGTAACATCATGTACTTTATATACACTTTCTCATTTCACTGCCATGGAGCCAGCAGTCTGAAAACTAACAGAGAGCTCTAAGAGATCACTCTGTACCAGGTACTGTCCTGAGAGCTTCGTGCTTGTGAATTCACTTACCCCCCACAACAACCCTGAAAGCTATGTATTCCTGTTTCACAACTGAGGAAAACGGGGGTATAGCATAGGTTACTTGCTCAGTGCCATGCAGATACTAAGTGGGGACAGTGCCAAATGGTTACCCCCAGAAGCCAAGTGCACAGTGTCTAGTCTAATATTTTTCTAGAGCTGAGCTAATGATCCACAGACCCTGATTTTGGTAACACAATATCTTAAAGTATGGCACTTTGACACATGGATTCCCCACACTGAAAGAGCCTAGAAGGCAGTGGGTGCAGGAGGGGTTTTCTCTGAAGACCCTCTTTCTGCCAAGAGGCTAGACTCTCCAGAATCCCTATCCCAGACACTGATCAACCAGGAAATGATCTTAGGAAGGAAGACAAGAGTTGACCCACACCCAGAGCTCAGGCAGACTTAGTCTTAAGCCGTTATCTGTTCAGGCCCATTCATGTCTCCTAAACATTATTTATTCTCACTCTGACTTTTTCTCCATTTCCTTTCCTCATATGTGGCAAGTGGATACGCTCCTAAGCCTCAGTGTGCTATTGGGCACTCACCTTTCTTCCTTGTTAAGCCCCTTGGGCATGCAATAAACATATAGGTCTTTTTTCCTGATAACTGTCTCTTGGTTTATTTCAGATGAAATGAATGATTCTCAGAAATGTGGAGAAATTAGAAACTTTTAGAACTGCAAGTCTTTTTGAAACAGAGGCAACCCTATCATGTTCCTTCAGTTAATGTAGGAGTAGAAGAAAGAACATCTTTTATTGCCTTGAATACAAGGCACTTGTCTCCTGGAGATAAAGGCTCACTAAAACTTATCTACAAAAATTAGGGAAAAAAACAAAACAATTGATTCTAAAATCCCAAAGTACTGTTTACCCGATGTGGCTTTTGTTTGAGCTGTTTGAGTTACTTGGAAGAAATTCAGGGTCTAGAAGTAAAAATAGCAATGGCCAACTACCTTTATAAATACACTTTGCTTAATAGACCCAGCTGGTGTCCAGCTTGCCTCCAGCCCCAAACCACACAGCGCTGTACTGCCCAACATCTCTTCAAGTATTTCCTTTGGGACTGCTGGGGTGGGGACGAAGGCCAAAAACTGCTGAAGTCTCAACACATAGGCTGCCTCTTGTAAAAATATGCCATGGCTCTGAGAAATATTTTGAAGGTCAAAAGAAAGTTCTGCCAGCTCAGCATCAGGCTCTGACTTTATCTCCTACCTTGTTTTTGAAATGATTTATTAACTAGACACTTTAGGAATTTGGGGAAACAGCTCTTCTCGTTCCAACTATTTTATGTTTCCCTGACTGAGAACAGATCAATTTTTCACAAGGACATCAAATGACTGGGCTGGGAAAATCTCAGTGGTCCTCTGCTTGCTCATATGAACAACTTGATCCATTAGATAAATACGGAGTTGGAACATTGTCTGATTCATCTCATGCTTGGCTCACCTTGTCAAGTGTGTCGTTCAGAGCATCCAACATCTGTATTTTGGCAACATTTGCAATGGCACTGTGAGAATGAAAAGAAACTTCAAATAAGATTCAAAAACTTGGGGCTGAGTATATAGTTCAGTGGTAGAGTGCTTGCCTGGCATGCACAAAGCCTTAGATCTAATTCTCAGTACGTCCCTGCTCCCAAAATTACCCCTTTGTTGGGGAGATGTTTCAGTGAGTAAAGCACTTACTGTACAAACATGAGGATCCTTAGAACCCACATTTAAACTTTGTAGACCAAGATGCCACTATAATTGTTTTTTTTCATTGAAGTATAAATTAATGCATTAGATGCACATATTATAAGCATATAGCTCATAGAATATTCATAAGCTGAAAATATTTGTCTAATGACTAGCCTCTGGGAATAACCAGTACTCTGATATAAAGCCCCATAGATCAGTTTTGTCTTTGGAGTTCATAAAATAAGTCATCTACAGCGTGTGCTGTCTCATGGCCTCTTTCTCTGAGGCCAGATTATTTTGTAGGAATGTTTCAGTCAGGGCTAAGTCCACAGTACAATGTCTTCAATGAAGCTCAGTGCTTGGCATGTTTCTTTCTGGATGGTTTATGTTGGTTGGTCACAGTTATTAAGGAATGGACAGAGACTGAGGATTGTTAGAGATGTGTTTCCTGTGGTATGTGTTTTTAAAGCTATTCTCTAAGAAGCGTTTGTCCGTAAAGCAGAGCTGGCAGAGTCTGCGTACACACTGAGGAGGAGGCATGAACCACAGAGGATTCACAGTGGAGGGGAAGCACTTACACCTCAGGGGTTCTCAGGACACTGGCTCCTTCCCAGGCCCTGGGAGTAGTCCAAGACATTTCATACTTGTCATTTCAGTTATTTAAGAAAAAAAAAATTCTTGTCCTCTCCCCCAGTCCTATAAGCTACAGGTCTCCCATAACCTGAATGTGTCCCTAGAAGTCTGGGCAGAAGTTCTAATCACCAACTTATTCTCTAACTAGCTCCTTGCCCACATTGTTTGGGTGAGGTGAGGGTTAATGAGGAGTTATATTCTTCTGAGGTGCAGAGAAATGAATGACCGCTCCACAGGCTGCCCATTAAAAGATTCTTTGGTGTCTGAGCCCCTGGCTCAGGCATAGTAACTGGCGTAACAGTAAACCAGCTGTATGTTTGCCTTACTTTAGAACAAAACAAGCTTCCTATGTCAATCAGCTTGTGATTCATGAAGTTTGATACCATTTGCAGCATGTACTGACTATCCTGAGAACTGTCCTGGGCTGGGTGAGGAGATGAAAAATGTGTGGCCCTCACTCTTAAGGATTTACAGCCTCACTTTCATCATGGAATCAGAAGTGACTTGTTGCTCATGGGTGCCAATCAGTATTTCATTCGTGTGTGTGTGTGTGTGTGTGTGTGTGTGTGCGTGCGTGCGTGCGTGCGTGCGTGCGTGTGTGTGTGTGTGTGTGTGTGTGTGTGTGTGGTGTGAAACCCTTAAAAATATTTCCTCCCAGGGTCTGGAGAGATGACTTAGCTGGTAGGAGCACTGGCTGCTTTTGCAAAGGACCCAGATTCAGTTCCCAGCACCGACATAGTGGCTAACAACCATCCATAACTCTAATTCCAGGGGATCTGATGCCCGCTTCTGGCCTCCACAGGCATTGTATGCACAGGTGTACCTACACACATGCAGGCAGAAAACTCACACACTTAAAAAAAAAAAAATCCAGGGACTGGATAAATGGCTCAGTGGTTAAGAACACTGGCTATTCTTGCAGAAGACCTGAATTCAAATCCTACCAGCTAACAACTGTCCTTTGACTCCGGTTCCAGGGGATCTGATGCCCTCTTCCATGCTCCTCAGGTACTGCATGACCAACATGGGTACACTTGCATATATACATGGAATACATGCATACACATAAAGCAAAAAAAAAAAATTTAAACAAATAAAAATAAAATAAAATCCCTTCCAGATATTGGAAAAGAAACTTGAAAAGTAATTTAAAAAGAATTCTATGTGGGGGCTGAGGAGACAGATAAAAAGTGCATGCCATCAAGCATGAGAACTATGTTTGGATCTCAGACCCCACAAAGAGCCAACTGGGCATAGCAGCTCACCTGTAATCCGAGCACTCCAGAGGCAGAGACAGCGGATCTCTCAGGGAAGCTGGCTAGCTCTAGTGGCCAAGTTAGTGAGCCAACAAATAAAGTGGAGAATGATTAAGGAAGAATGACAGATGCCACTTTTGGGCCTTCACACGAAGGAGCACGCACATACATACATACCACACACACATACATATGCAACCTCCCCCCCAGTTTATATAAAAGGGTCAAAGGAATAGTAGTCTGTTTCCCTCCACATTTTCTTTGTATGCTTTAAGCAGGTGTCTTGAGCATTCTTTCATCAACTCCTTTTGAATAATTTGCTCATTGCTTTATGGCAACCATCTTAAAGCTGATAATCCCAGAAGCATCCCTCATTAGGCTACTTGGAGGAATCAGGGCAATAGGTTAATACCTTTTCCAAATGTACTAATTTTCCTTAAGAAAGTATTAGTGTGGTTGATTCATTTGTGTATAGGATACACTGACCTATACCTCAGTTTGGTTCTGGGAACTTCGGTGTCAAAGTCAAGGTGGAAAAAGCAGGGAGAAACCAGCCTCTGTACCTGTATGCCTTCCAGCCATGCCAGATATAGTGGCTATTGGTTTCTTAAATAACTTAATGGTGAATTAAAAAACTTAAAAGATGTTTATTTTTAGTTTAGGGGATTTACTTCAACATAAAGTACATTGCAAAAGCAAGGCCAGTGGAGGCATAATATTTTAAAGGCTGATTTGAAAATATGATGAGGGAATGTGTATCAGTTTCCAGTGCATTTAGGACTACAGTTTGTTGGTAGGAGGTAGCTGGGTGGTTTCAGAGAGGAGGATGGATAGGGATGGGGCCCTAGCAAACCTTCTGGTTGGCAGCCATCCCATCTCTGGAATCAGCACCCATCCTAATGCTCACCCCTGACCCAGCCTGGCTCCCCCTTCCAAAGGCATGGGACATAAAATAACATGTAGAGACAGAGCCATCAGCAATCCCTACCTTGTTTTCTCTAATCCTGTTTTTTTGGTGTGTCTCTCCAAAATGCCCATTTCTTGCTTTTTGGAAATTCGCATTCCTCCAGCTTTTACTGTAAACAATAGGCACCAATATAGAAGTTAGAACAGCTTTGTTATTCAAGATATGACTTTAGATCTGATGAGAATTTTCAAATTTATATTAAAAAAATCTAACTTTTATCTAAAACAACACAATGAAAGAAAAAAGGAAAAAAACAAAACAAAACAAAATCCACCCAAGAAAATGGGACAGGGTGGGGGGAAGGCTGAGGCCTACTTTTTTGTAGAGAGGTGGAACCAAGATTGGAAAACCAGGTTCCACCTTAGACTTGGGGGGAGTAACATGTTCCCTTAGGCATTTCTCTGAAAAACACTTTTTCTTATTATCAAACCAATTACATTCTTCAAGACAGCAACTCACAATTACAATGTGACCCTCTGTTTTCCCACAAGAGTAAAGCTTTTGCATGGCTTGCACTTTATTTTTTTTTCAACGGAGGCTTTCAAAAGCCAGATTCTGAGAGATGAGCCAAAAGTCATGGCACAGTGCTAACAGACATTTAATTCAAATGAGGTGCTTTGGATTCCCGGGGCTAGCCACCTTCATCCCAGACCCCAGTCTCCATGCTGCCTGAGCTCTGAGGTTCTAATGAGTAATTAAACTGTATTAATAGTCCTGCCATTCAAGAGATCAATTAGTGTTAATTAGGCTACAGATGACCTAACAGCAATTCAAGTGTTTAACAATGTCAGCTGAAATCAACTTTTGTAAGGAACAACCCACTTCAGATTGCAAGTCAAAGCAAATGCTTTTCTCTGTTCCCAGGAAATCTGCACATCTAAAATCTGACAAGCTCAAACGAGAAGCAGCTAAATGGACATTGATTTGTTTGAACCTGTTAATTCTTTTTATGGAAACGCCACATGGGCAGTTTTCCGAAACTTGTTCCAATAAAGTGAAAATAAAGAAGGCCCATTTCTCAATGCTTTGTGAACCTACTCTATCACTGTTCCTGTAAAAAACTATGTAATATTTTTGGATGTTCTTACATGCAGGGAATCAAAAAGGAACACAATCAAAAAGTATAACAGGCTTGCGACTCCCCACCATCCTTTTCCAACCTCTAAGTGACAAGGTCCCTATGTCTTCATCCACAGATATTATATGCATTATTTGTAGCATAAACTACCCATTGATCTGAACCTGGTTAACTTTTTCACTTAACCATACATTTTGGAGACAGTTCTATATTTATGTATCCATATCTGTGTGTCTTTCTTTTTAACATCTGCTTTGCAATTCCATTATGAAAACATTCTGCATTTGCTTAGCCAGTTTGCTAGTGCTAGGCATTTCACACATTTCTATTCATTGTCATCACAAATGATGCTACAATAAATATCCTTTTTTATTCATATACTAAAACAGGCATGGAGACGCTGCTGCTGAAGCCCTTGGGCCCCTTACTTGGGCCCCTGGGGTAAGTTGAAGCCTGGCATCAGGCCTTTACTTTTCATTGTTGCCATTATTTTGCCCACCTGCTTCTACATGTAGGTGTTAGAGAAGTAGGAGGAGGTAGATGGGTTGATTTAGGAAAGAAGATGACACAAAATTGCCCTTCAGGAGTGAGCTTTATGAGAGAGGGCTAGTGACCATGGAAGCCATAATCAGTCCTTGATGCAGGAGAACATCAGAGGACTAGTACGTTATTAGATCAGACAATGTGGTTGGGGCCTTACAGGGAAGGAGAGGGTTCCCTTTCAAATCCTGGAGAGGCGCTTCATTAAAAGGGATAATTTGAAGTCAGAGTAAGAGAGATAGTGGCCAGGCACAGGATGATCAGAGGTGGAAGTCTGATGGAGCCTAGAGAAAAGCCCTCAGCAAAATCCCCCAAACTTCAGGGGGTGGAAGGAGGCTTTACATCATGTGATGTAGTCTAGGATAGCCTATGTGACAAGGAGCGTGGAGAAACCAAGTACTAGGTAGGACTATAAATTAGAGGTTGTGAAGTCACAGCACAGCACAGCTTCTTAACTGCAGTGAAGTGTGGCCTAATTTCACCAGGCTATGTGATCTGGCTGCTTAGGGTGGTCAGCCTTAAAGGGGCAGGTCCATGATCTAACAATGAGCATGTCAATTACTCAAGAAATGGCTATCTTGAAACTGGTATATCTAATCTATCTCATTTCCCTTCAAGACTTAATGTGCAAATAAGAATAACTGAAGCATCTTACTGAGAGCTTCTTACCCCATCTCAGGACCACCCCTTCCCAAAGTGCCTCAGTGTCCTAAATCTCAGTCACCTTGGATTTAGGCTCAGCAAAGCCTGGTAAGCTAAACACCCTCAGATGAAGTTAATTATCCCTGAGCATGAAGCTGTTCTGTGGGGCATGAGTAATCTGAGAACCAGCTTGTACCCTCAGGCGACAAGGCCTTCAGACTTTGCAGATCCAGAACTAAGACAATGATCAAGGAGACCACATCTTGTCCAGGACCAATCTCTTGCCCTGTGCCCTGATTCCTCTTCTATTTAAGCCTAAAGCTAGGGGCTGGAGAGGTGGCTCAGCGATCAAGGGTGCTTGCTGATCATTCAGAGGACTAGAGGTTGGTTCCCAACACCTACATCATGTGGCTCACAACCACCTGTAATTACAGCTCCAGGGGATATAACACCCTCTTCTGGCCTCTGTGGACACCCTCACATGCATGCATGTGCACATACATATAAATAAACAATAAAGTGAATCTTAAACATAAAGCTCATGTCAGTGCCCTGAAGATGAACTTGGGTTCCTGAACCCCTTTAGCTGTTCCTCTTCCCAATACACATAGATTAAATGTCTGCTGTTTACCATCACTTATCTCTTTAACTGGTATATTGGGACAGGTGGCCAAAACTAGCTTTTTGGTGCTGCCAGAGCTGATGCTTTTGCCCCCAGACTCCTCTTAGAGCATCTTATTACTTTAATTTGCATATCTCCTTTGCTATTAAATATTAAGCTTGCTTTAGAAGTTATTGTTTTCTTATTTTATTTTTTTAATTTTTACAAAAACTTTATTAAGAATTTCATATATGTATATAAGGTGTTTTGATCAAATCCATGCCCACTCCCTCCCCTCCAACATTCCCCCCTCTGAAGAGGTAACCCTAAAATCTTTTAAGGATTAGATACAAGCTCCCAAATACTTTTGACATTTTTGGCCTTTGGAACAGAGTATGTTGTTATTTTCTTTTTCATAAAATTTTTGTCTATTTTTTCCTATTAGACTACTAGTCTTCTCATCTTTTTCTTGTTGATTTTTCAGGAGCTATTTGTGAAAAGCATTGTATATATAAAATGTGCAATTGCACCAATTCTTGCCTTTTGACTTTATTGATAATGTTTGCTCATTGCAAAATATCACTATTATTTTTTATTATTTTATTTTTACTATTTTATTTTATGTGTATGAGTGTATTGCCTGAATGTAAGTGCACCTGTGTAGTGCAATGCCCGTGGAGGTCAGAGGAGGGTGTCAGATCCCCTGAACTGGAATTATGGATGATTGTTAGCTGCCATGTGGGTGCTGAAAACCAAACTTGGGTTCTCTCCAAGAGCAGTCAGTGCTCTTAACCACTGTCATCTCTCCAGACCCCCAATATTATTATTTTTATAAGAACTTGTCAATCTTATGTGGTTTTGTAAGGAGGTCTGATGTTTAAAATATTTTGTTTTATTTACTTATTTTATGGATATGGGCTTTGCCTGCATGTATCTAAGATCTCTGTGTGTGCAATGCCTGTGGAGGTCAGGAAAGGGTGTCAGCTCCCTTGGAGTTGGAGTCACAGGGTGTAAGCTGTTCAACATGCGTGCTGGGAACTGAGCCCAGGTCCTCTGCAAGAACGGCCGTGAAATCAGATGCTTTGCAAACATTATTCTATGTTCTCTTCTAGAACTTTTATGGTTTCATTTTGTAAAATCAGTTCTTTATTACATATTTATACCATTGATTGTCAATAATATATTTTAAGCAAGTCATTTATTTTTTTGTTTTGTGTTTTGAGATGAAATCTTGCTACATAACTAAGTCTGACTTGGTACTCTCTGTGTAGCTCAAGCTGGCCTTAAAATCAACCACCTTCCTGCCTTTGCCTCCAGTGTGCTGGAGTTACAGGCATGTGCCACCACATCTGGTTTGATGCACTTACTTTTTTAGATGATCTCAATAATATTGAAAAATTCAGCTTCTCTTTATTAATTTGAAGTGTACCTTTACTGTACACTATATTCTCAGAAACATGTGTGTGAAAGTATGAATCTGCCTAAACATACACATTTGTGATTATTTCTGAACTCTCTGTTCCAGTCATCCGTCTATACATATACCATTATATATGTATATTAATTGTTATATCATTGTTACATTTGATTTAAAGATTTTTACTAGCTATTCTTATTTTTCTATAAGAACTTAAAAAGTTTAATTCCCTATAAAACCTTGTTGATATTTTTTGATGGTGTTTTGTTTTTAGACAGGTTATGTAGCCCAAATTTGCCTTGAATTTATAATCCTCACACCTCAACCTCTTGTGAGCTTGGATTATGGATGTATGCCACCATACCTGGGTAAATTTATAGATCTATTTAAAGGGAAAATTCCTGGTGGCTCTCTATTCAAGAGTGTGCAGTTTTCTGTTGTACATATCTTCTGTGTTCCTCAGTAACTTGTTAATATTTACTTTTAGGTTAATTTTCTAAGTATTTTATCTTTGTGGATAATGTTATCGTAAATGAGGTCTATTCTTCCCTATAAACAAACCATTTGAAGCTGAAAAAATTAATTGAATATTAATGAGTTTATCTTATTGGTTTTATACTTAAGATGTAGTGAATCCTATTATTGCTTATTATAGCTTTCTATAGATTCTATTAGGTTTTCCAGGCAGAAAAAATGATATAGTCTACAAAGAATGATATTGTCTTCTTCAGAAAAATGTTAAATTATAGTGATTAAAGATATCTTTACTTTTCTAATTAATTTTGTTTTTTGTTTGTTTGTTTTTTTCTGGACAGAGTTTCACTATGTAGT